AATAACTGCCAAATAAACCACGAAACTTAAACAATGTACTTATATTCTTGCGGTTAAAAAACTTAAATAGTTATCATGAAACAGCTTAATTGCAAAGAATTGAAAAAATAAAATCGCTATAATGTTAAAAAGATTTGAAAAAAAAAACCAAAAATAAATTTCCCTTATTTCACATAAGCGAACATTCATGAAAAGCATGAGCTATGAGCAATTCGGATGCAAGCTCGAAGACAAAATGGGCCATCACAAGGGATGATAATTGATTAAAGTCGAATTAATTAGATGTTTTCGTCATAAAAATATAAATTAGAAATTGGTTTAAAAAGTCATCAATTACAATAGGTTTGGAATATATCGAAAAACGGATGGATTAACATTCTATCATAATCGGTTGAAATAAATTATAGTTGATTGTTTTTTTTTTATTCAACTTTTACTTGAATAAAATAGAGTTTTCCCATTTTAGTAAAACTGGTGCCAAAAACATTATCAAATTGATTATTAAAGCTTAGCATGCAGCCGGCCAAAACGAAGCAATTTTATCCAATTCAGCTCAACTTTCATCCTTTTTTCTTAATTTTGTAGTTGTCTTTGCGTAAGGGAGACTAGATGAGTTTTCGATTCACGTGTAACTTGCCATTCGCCCTCTATTTTTTAGTAAAATAATGAATTTTTAATGAAAATTATTTTCATGTTTTTTAGCATTTATGGGAGAACGGAGGGGGGTATTACCTTAAAGACCTTTGTTTTTGTATAAATACGATAATACCATAATCTCATATTTCCATTTGATTCGTTTTTGAATAATGGTGAACGGAAAACAACCACCGGGTTTTTAAATGTAACATAATCCTTCAGACGCTCGGCAGTTCAATCAATCAAAAAGCTCTGGGAACAAATTCATTTTCAATTTAGAATACCTACAAACAAAAACAACTATCCAGCATAGTGAAAAAACAAACGAGGTCAACAATTCAAATTTACCTGGAGCGAAACATACAAATTGATTTTGGCCTCTTTGTTGATTTTTCCAGGGTGGAAATTGGCAAAATTTTTCTTAATTTAGATCTGCGATTTAAAAAGTTCACGTGTTTGCTCTGTGAACAAATTTACTCAAATTCAGCCAAGATCTAAAGAGGGCACTGTACCAACATATGCACTATAGCTAAACAGTAGCTGAGGGAAATAAAAAAGTCAGTGGTGCGTTAATTTAATAAACAGACGTGGCTATTCGAAGTGTATTATAATTGTTCGGAGGTTCTAACACAAGGAAGGCTTTAGTTGTCAGTCATCATACTACAATTCGAAATAGCATCGACAGGTAATTTTTGTTTCTTCATCTCGTTGATCTAATGCTAAAGTCGAAAATAGAGGCGGGTTTAATTTGCAGGAGGAGGCTTGACTTGGAGTAGACCTACCCCTCATGAATTTTCGACACCTCATAAATCTTCCGTACTATTTTTACGAGATCTATATTTCACTGGGGAGCTTCAAACGATAAGTTCCAGTGTTTTAAAACAGCTTCAAAAGTTAAATTGGGCGACCTAAGAAAAGAGTCGACGAAATATTCAAAAGTTTGTTGAAATCACCCTTCCCATTGCAAAACTTTGAACACGTTTCATTAAAATTGGTTTTTGCAATAGACAAAAAAAGTATGAGCAAAAACTGCTGAAAACTTTATGCCCTTTTAAATTTGAAAGTTCAAAAGTTTAACCCTGTTTATGCTGCCTTATTGGAAACAATTATATTCTAACACTGAGTCATTTGTCCCCGCAACCAATCGATAACCTTAACGAAAACTACCAGGTCAATAGTCAAACAAGTTATTGTTCCGACTTTTGTAACGAAAGTAACGGAATAATTGTGCTCGGGGTGGGTTTTTTTCTTCAGACAAGTTTCGACTTTTTACTATTCATTTTTGACAGGATTTTTTTTCAACGGGATATTATTCAAAAGGTATTGTTCTCCAGAGCTTAAATTTGAAAAAATATTTCACCTGTGACCAATTTTCGTAAAGTTATGGGGGTTTAAACATTGCCATTTTGGCCATTTTGGGTCAATTAACGCGCAACATATTTCGCGCTACTAACGCGTGAACGGAGCAATAATTTGTCCTGGAAATCGGTCCAAATTGGTTGAAGGAAGTATATTTGCCATAATTGATTTGTTACTAGGTGCAAAATCTATCACTTTGTACTTTTTATGGCGTGTGTGGGGATGATTTTTGCAAAACTCTCAATTAAAAAATATGTCACTTTTTACCCTTAATTTTTCATGTTATTACTGCTACATAGACCTTAAAAGGCAGACGGAATATTCAAAACCTCGCCCTGATACAAGCAGTCTTGTATGTATATATCTTCACATATTGCATAATTACGGGATTGAACGGATGAAATTATAGAGAAATAAAAAGATGAAGCTAATTGAAAAATCTGAATAACTTGAATGCGAAAAAAGGGAAACGGAAAAAGAATGAAATAGAATCGAAAGATCGTGATTACTGTTTTCTGCGTTTTAAATGATTTTTGGTTTTTTTTCTTCAAAAACTGATGACAGACTTATGACTGTTTTAAACGGGGCTTAACATCATTTGGAGTAAACAGCACATCAAAAATCTGCACGCTTTAAAACACATAATAAATGCTCTTAGCCGCAAATATAACAAGAAACTGCGCTTCATTTTTCCGTTTTTGAGGTACAAATTCGCGCTATGATCATTATCAGCTGAAACAATTAAATAAGAGTTCAGTTGAATGAATAGGGCGGGTTGCAGAATAACCTTCTTACAAACGCTGATATCTTTTTTTTCCTAAATGTAAATTTAGGGCAAATATTTAGTTGATGGTTGCCATAAAGATGGGATTAAGAATTTTAATAACTATTATTGGGCGTTAACATTTTAATAGGGTTGTTTTAGATGCCCATTTGTATCAATAAAAAGTTCCTAATAAGAACTTGGTTTGTAACTTAAAACGCCAGATTATTTAGACATAAGTTTCTGGATTTAGGTAAAAAAATTCGTGCTCCAGGGACAAATGCCGAATCTGGTAAACAAAAATAACAAAAACGCTCATATCAGGGCGAAGCCCTGAATGTTGCGACTGCCTTTTAAGGTTTATGGAGCAGTAGTAACATAAAAAAATTAAATGTAATAAAACAAAATGAAAACAAAAATTCTAAAATTTGAAATGTTTATGAAAACATCCCCCACATGCCATATAAATTACAAAAGAAAAGATTTCGCTCATTGTAAGAAACCAATTATGGCAAATAAGCTTCTTTCAACCAATTTGGAACGATTTTTAAGCCGGATTAAACCTCAGCTTGCGCGTTAATAGCGCGAAATATATCACGCGTTAATTGTCCCAAATTGGACAAAATGGCAACTTTTAAACTCCCATAATTTTACGAAAAACGATCACAGGCGAAATATCTTTTCAAATTTAAGCTCAGGACAACATTACCTTTTGAATGATATAAAAAATTGTCATCAAAAATGGCTAGTTAAAATGTCGAAATTTGTCTGAAGAAAAAAAACCCACCCCGAGCACAAATATTCCGTTACTTTCGTATCGAATGTCGGAACAACAAACTGAGAGAGAAAACTGCGGACCGACGGTTTAGAATTTAAGTTGGACCGGAAGAACTCGTTTTTCGATGGAAACCAAACAAACAATTTTGGCTAAAAATTTGTTTAAACAAGATTGCTCGTATCAGGGCGAAGCCCTGAATGTTCCGACTGCCTTTTAAGGTCTATGGAGCAAAAATAACATGAAAAAATTAAACATAAGAAAAAAAATGAAATTTTTATTTCTAATTTGAGGTTTATTTTGCGAAAGTAATCACCCCACCAGCCATTTAAAATACAAGTGATAAGTTTTGCTCGTATTAACATATCAATTTTGGCAAATAATCTTCCTTCAACTAACTTGGAGCGATTTCTAAGACGGAATAAATCTCCGCTTACGCGTCAACAATGGCTAGTTAAAAAGCCGAAAATTGTCTGAAGAAAAAAAAGCAAGACTGCTCGTATCAGGGCGAGGCCTTGAATGTTCCGACTGCCTTTTTTATGGAGCAGTAATAACATGAAAAATTGAAATATCTTTTCAAATTTAAGCTCAAGACAACAACAACTTTTTGAATGATATAAAAAAATTCCGTCAAAAATGGCTAGTTAAAAACTCGAACTTTTTCTGAAGAAAAAACCCACCCCGAGCACAAATATTCCGTTACTTTCATTACAAAAGTCGGAACAAAAACCCACCCGAGCACAAATATTCCGTTACTTTCGTTACGAAAGTCGGAACAAAAACCTACCCGAGCACAAATATTCCGTTACTTTCGTTACGAAAGTCGGAACAAAAATCGAACCGATTTGTATGTTAGTTTGTTGACAAAAAGCCAAAAAGTTTTGTTTAGATTAAGCATTTTAAATTTTTCATTGTAAATACTAGTGGGGAAGTCTATGATTTTACTTTTCGTAGAAACCGCGGTTCTTGGCGCGTTAGTTGCGTTGCGCCGATGTTTTTTAGACAGGTCACACTTTCATTGAAATTAATATTGATTTTGTTGAAACTGTTTTGTTCGTCTTTGATCTCATTTGCTTTTTTATCAAAGCAAAATACATGTACTGTAGTATTTGTTCATCATGCTTACCAGGCCCGAGTAAGTATCTAAGCAAATATAATCAGCAATGGTAAGTATCGCCACCAAAGAGCTTGATGATTTAGCTCCTTTGAAAAGGATTTCAAATAGTACTTTTTCCGAGTGGGAAATAATCTATAATGTTTCCAAAAATATCTGCACCATATTAAAAATTTCTTTCAGATAAACTAAATGTGAAAAAAGATACTCATTCAGTTTAACTAAATTCAAAAACCTCCTTCTGACTTTTTGCAATTAAATGTTTGCAATTCTGCTTTAATTAAATAAACTTAATTGAAATACAAAATAACGTATAATTTCATTTAGTTTGAGTTTTGTACGCTTTGCTACAGGATCGCTGGGACCATCAGCACTAAGTCCAGGTTTGTTTTTGCAACTGATTATGCAAATCATCCAGCTTTATATTTTATGCAACGGATTTATCAAAACTTAATCGTGTTCTGTTTTTCAATTTTCGTTAATTTTTTGGTACTTGAGTTATGTGTTTTCAGCTGATATCAATCAATTGATATCAAAAGTATTTAGCGTCTTTCTGATGTCATTAATTAGATCACAAAATGAACTGAATTTTGCGGATGTCTTGTTACTATAATTTTAATCAGTTCAGTTTGCTCTGCCCCGTTTGATTATCCGTTTCCTGTCTTCATGTGTGAGCTTAGAATGAATTAAGTTGCTTTTTTGAACTAGCAAAAAGACAATTTGAAGCCTCGAATGTTTCGACCAATATTTGAGCTTATTGAAAAGCAGGTTTTGATCTTAACTCGGCAAAACTTGCTTTGCATGAAAACAAAAAAATCTGATTGCTTTCCTTTTCTCATATTTTCAATTTACCCTAATTTTACAGAATAATGAAATAGCCTTTTTTTTTTAGTTACTCCGTCAATTTACCGGCTCTTTTTTCTTATCCCTACACTTCGCATATTCATCATTTTTTGGTGTAACTTGTGATTTTACAATGTTAGGTATGAAGGCTAAAATTCTCTGGAAGGAGCTAAGTAGCCCGTGCGTCAATCTTTGTATTAATCAGACTATGTGAGCCAAAATTTTATCAGTAAAAAGTCGCAGGTGGGGTAATAGAAAAAAATCCTTTCCTCCTACTTCTACGGGCTCATAAACCGTTTTTTTAAATGGTACATTTCTCGAAAGCAGACAGAAATTGTTATAAGTTCATTATTTTTGTCTCAACTCCTCCAAGCGTTTCCAAAGCAATAAAAGAACCTGCTTTTAAAAATGATGGCACCTTAGGATTACATTTACTACTTTATAATCCCATAAATCAAGACTCTATTTTCTATAAATCCTGGTTTGAATATGATGTTATCTTAAGATCTTTTCAAGTTTTTCTTGCGTTTGAATTTCAGTTTTGCAAAACTAAATTTAAGCTTGTTTTAATATAATTTAATTTTGTAATTTTGCACCAACCATTGTGAACAACACATAAAAAGCGCTAACAACACATTATACTGCTTACAAAAGGTTTTTAGGTCAAGTTAACATCTCCCCTCCACGCGCCCCCAGATAGACTAAGTTTTTGTCTTGATTAGAAAAATTTGTCTTGAAAAACAGAAAAAAAAAACAGTTTTTTTCAGTCTTTTTTCAGTATTGAGTTTTTCTTTTTTTTAGTGAGTTTTTAGCATAAATGAGCCATATAATCTGTTTAAAGTACATTGGCAGCAGCATAATTTGGTCAAATACCTTTTTTTCAAGCTGAAAATAATTTCAAAAGCCATTTCTTTAATGATATTTGCTGCCAATTAGCTTTGGGTTTTGCATGCAATTGACCGATAATGCCAGGTTGACCATTTTCAAATGCTTTAGGATTTCGTATCTCAATGCTTCAGCGATGACTTAAGGGCGAAGCGGTCGTTTTTACAAACGGACGTTTAGTTTGAAGTGGCTAATTTTTATGATGCAAATTTAGTTTGACTGAAAACTAATCAAGTTGATTTTATGCTTGCAAAAAGTCGTAATTGGTCTTTTTTCTTCCTTCGAGTGACCTTAAGGATTCATTAAAGGAGGTTTTTTGACCTGTAATTTGACTATTTGTTGGTTCTAAGTCGTTTCCTATCCGTTCAAGTTTTTGCTACTGTCTTTAATTGGTCTTGCAATTCGTGCCTTTTAATCATCATGATGATAGTTAGATTGCGTACCGTGAAAACACCCGGGTTGAAGCCCACTCTTAAAATTAGGGCAAATTCTGCAATGTCCCACTGAACACTTTTTCACTCCTCCCCTACCCCACCCCGTTTAGGGAGGAGGATGTTAACTTGGTTCTGAGTTCGAATTGTCCGCTAATCAGAACAGAGCATTTTACACGCAGCGCTTAGCAAATTTAATTTGAATTGAACGCTAGGGTCGAGGATTTTAACTTGGTCGATTTTGGGGTTGGGGAGGATGTTTATTTGATCCTTTTTTATCAATGAATACTTAAGACTCTTTTCTGTTTAACGGCCTAAACTTACCAAATTAATAGTTGAGCTTCCGTTTTCAAAAAAAATCTTGATTTTTTTTCAGCTGTAACTATTTCATTCAATCAGATCAAAAAATTTTGATGCAATTTTCAAAAAACAAAATCAGTTTTGGGCCATATAACAGAAAAGACGCATCGTTTATAAGCCATGGAAACTGACGTAGCTAAATCTGAGTTTTGTATGTAAGTTTGCATTGGAAACCATAGCTAGATAGAGTTTTTTATGTAAAGAATCAGCGGAAAATCTGAGCTTACTTTTAAAGGTTTTCATCCAAAAGTTTCACTGCGGCAATTTTTGCTACGACATTCGAATGATAGTCAACTTATTGTCTACATCGTAGATTTAAAGTTAGAGCCGCAAAGATAACATATGTGTCTAAAAAACTCCTGTAGGTTATTGTTCGCCTTTGATGACTTGTTTTTTTTCAAGACTTTAAATACCTAAAAATCAGCAACGGTCATCCTTTTTTTTCAGAGCTAACTGTTTTCTTATTGCGAATTAACAATTTTTTTTTTATACGTGGCAGTCGCTGTTTTGGCGCAAAAATGAAGCTGATTTTTTGTGGGAGGTTAATCCGTGCAGCAAAAGATTGAAAAAGTAAAATGAACGTCCCAAAAATTTTGTTACCGGAAGGTAACAACTTGTTGGTGTTTTCTAACTCAATTCGATTTCCGCTGAAAAAATCTTCCGCGTAGTAATTGTTAGGAGATTTTTGTTATTAAACATATGCTCTTTTCGGTGTACATAATACAGAAACGAAAAGTCTTGATAAAACGTATTGACATGAAAAAGTAGACATTTCTAAACAATTTCAGTTAATGCAGTTTAGGGTTTTTTGCGTCTTATGGAAAGGGTAACTTCGCCTCTCTGCAGCTAAAACAATAATGAGAATTATGGCGCATCGGGTAGTGATGATGACCAGGATTTACAGAATTGCGGTTTCAAATCGCACGTGCGCTGCAATTTGCTCGGAAACCGCTTGCCAGACAGCCATAGCTTAATGGGCTCATAATTAAGTGAGTTCCAGTTCAGTTTTAAATAAATAATCTCTGAATCAGGCCTTTTGCTGATCGACTCTAAAAACGGATTGCTTTTTCCTATTTTCAATTTACAAATGGTGTTAACAAGACCATGAGCCAATGTTTTTCTTTTTTAAGAGTTTTTACCTCAAAATATTTTATGAAAATTGGGTGAAAAAAATCATGGTATATACAATGCTTTAAATATTCGACTCTTTTCTTTCTGCTTCAACGCTTCTTTTTCTATGTTTCTAGATGTTATATTTCACTTATAACAGAATAATTGTTTCACTTGAATCACCAGTTTTGGGTTTTTTGAATGATGAACGTCAGATTTTTGTATAGTTTTTTATAATATTATAATTATTTGACATTACCATTGGAGTTTACAGTCACTTTTGGTGAAATTATTAAACGAATGAAAAAATTTTGTTCATTATTGTGACGTCCTGGTTGTCTGCTGTGAAATTATCACCTACTACAATTTTTTATGGGAGTTCTGTATTACAGTCTGATAAATATTGATGCTCTGAGCTCAAATTTTGATAGTTATGTTTTTCGGCGAGCAATTTTGATGAGTTATGGAGGTCTGAAAATTGTCAGTTTGGCCAATATGGGATAGTTAATGAGCCCTTTTTTACCAATTTTTCTAATAACGCGGATTGTTTGTGGGTATTAAGTCATTCCAAAATTTAATCCTGCTGTGGGCAAAAAATTTTCAGTTTTTGGACAACTGTATGAATGATTTCAAAGAACTGCAAGATACTTTAAAGGGCAATGTATGTGATCATTCAGAATTCCGTAATATGAACATTCTTTTTCATTAACTATAATCGAAGTACGTCATCAATTAGTTAAACTGTTGGTTTTTCCATTTTAAGTTTCTGAATCTTGTTCTTAAAAAAATTATTCGACAAACACATGGAAACTTTTGAGCAGTTTTTTGTAAAGAATTTTTACAACCAAAAACTCGAAAGTGACCAGCTGCATGTTCAATCTAAACTGTTCTCAAAATCAGTTTTGATTAAAAATCGGAAGCAAAACTTACAGTTAAAAATTTTCGGCAAATCAAATGTTTGAAATATCAGAAAAAACCTCTGTTTAAATTTCATCGAAAAACTAAACTGGAGAACTACAAGGTCAAAGTGTTTATTTTGTGAATTTTTAGCGGATTCCGCAAAAAGACCAATATCTTTGATATTCCTCTCTTTTTGCGTTTCCTTTGATCGTTCCGACGAAATGTTAGCTTGCTTAAAAACTTGTCTCTTGATTCCAATTGTGCGCCTATCCAGTGCATAGTTTGGCTTTGTAACGAGTTAACGAAGCAAATGGAGCTTTGATAAATGGAAGCTAAACCTGCTATCTAAAAATTAGAAAAATTGAAGCAAAGTAATTTGTTAAAATTTTCGTTATTTTCGAAAACTAAAAAAATGGGTTAAGAACTACTGTTGAAGTTTCCATAAAACTCGATATAAAAATAGTAATCAGAAATAACTGCGTCATCATCAGTTATCTGTTTTCACTTTAACTATCAAGTGTTATTATGTGACCTGATTTTCTAAAGTGGATTATTTTACAGTAACTTCTCGCGTGGCAAGTGACACTTCGCAAATCAGTAGTCGTCGCATGTCTGTGTCGCCCTCTCCAAGCAGCCACGGGGTAGGCAGTGGTGGACCAATGTCCCCTGCCTCCCTCCACAACCCCGCCTACCAACTCCCTCTCGACAGCAGTGCATCCAACTCCCCGCCTGCCCAATCGGTCAACTGTTCAGTTACTGAAGAGAACTCCAAATACGAAGGTCAGTTATAATTTCTTAACCTCTATTTTGAAGAGCTATTCACATGCAGTTTGTGTTGCGGTGCATTTACAGTGCAAAACACCAAAAATCATACAAAGCTATACAGATCGTAATAAAAAAGGCTCTACTTCACTATGATGACTGTTGCCTTGGTTTCATTTTGACGTGTTTCGGCTGCGCAGGCCTTGATTTTGATATTTTTTCAATTTTTTTTTCTGTCCCACTTTTTTAGTTTGTTTGCATTTCTCTCTGTTGAAATCAGAAGAAATGTTGTTCAGGTTAGATGAGATGACATACCTTCGATAAATTGTCTCACAAACGAACTTGAAAATAATCAAGTGGGTGAATTAAAAAGAATTTTTCTCAATTGAATACTTGAAAAACTTGTTCAGAAAGCGTATTCGCTCTGATGTAAATACAGCTAAATGTTATCATGGTAGACATAGACAGACCGGCTGCTAGACAGACCAGCGCCTAGACAGACCGGCGTTTATATTCGAAATGTTGCTTAAAAGCGCTTCATTTGTACATTAAATTGATGCAAACGTCCATCGTCTTGAAAAGTTTTTCATTGCTCAAAAATATCACAAGGGTCGAAAATTTTTCTTTTTCCCACAAAAAATTACCCATGAAACATACTTATCTTCACAATATCCACATTTGGCTTGCTCAAAGATCAGCATAACTTGCATGCAAGCGTTTTTCGCATAATTTTTATCAACATTTTTTCCGTACAAAATTATTTGAGAATGAATATGGGAAGTCGATAGCTGTGCAGCTAGTACAGTGTGTTCTGACTACAGTAATCACTTCAAAAACGTTTAAAAAAATTGCCTTATTTTATCTTTTTATTCGTTTTTTCAAACGCTTTTTGTACAACGAGGAAGACTCTTTTATTCATTTTTAAGCACAGCTTAAAAAATGAATAAAACTTGCGCAAATAAACAAGACTGCTCGTTTCAGGCCAAAGCCCTGAATGTTTCGACTGCCCTCTAAAGTCTATTGAATAATTTCGATGAACCTTTTTTCAAAAGTTTAAGTTTTTTATTTGCAAAAAATATATGAGTTTAAAAATAGCTGAATGTTCAAATAAAGAAAAAAATAGTCGAAAAAACTCAAACCCCCACAATGTGAATTACAAAATGATATAATTAGCGTCTTGTAATATATCACTAAGACCAAATAGCTTATTTCGAGTCAATTTGGAATAGTTTCAGAGCAGGATTGAATCGGCGCTTGGGCATAAATAGCACAAAAACATCGCGCGTTAAACTTCACAAATTAGCCCAAATGGTAAATATTAAAACTTCTTATTTGCTACGGATTTTGATTGTAAATGATTTTTTTTAGAGAGAGAGAGAGAGCTCTTTTTTTCAATTCTAGTTCTCATTTCTATGCTAAAACTACCTTTCAGATTGTGAAAAATTTTGTTTGAAATTCAAAAGTGGCTCTTTAAGAAGATAAACAAGACTGAACCACAATGCGCATTCACATTCAGTTTATTTTGAAAGTCGAAATAATAGAAACAAGAAAGCCAGGATTTTTCCCAAATTTTTTATGTTTAAAATTTGTTTCAATCAAACTTTGTAAAGTTGCGATGAGTATCTCAGAAAGCAAAACCCCGGCATAGCTCCTTCTCGAATCATAGGAGTGCTCCGAATATTAGAGCAACCAACTATCATTTAAATGTCGCAACGTTTTTGGCTCAGAGACAAGGGGTAAAGTTAAGGAAACCGATTAGGCTGAAAAAATGTCAGTTTTATCCAACAAATCTTTGATTTCAAAATTCCGAAATTGTTTGTGTTTATCAGTTTAATAATTTTATTTCAGGAAACTTTGGTGGCTGACACTTTTTTGTTAAAACTAACTCAAAATGAGATAACAAGGATGTAAGTGTCAACATTTTCTTAACTAAAATTTCCAAAACGAACATTCGTTATTGACAGTTAAAATTAAACTACGTTGTTGAGCTTTTTGTTTCTGTTTTTAACCAGGATAAAACATTAAATCTAAAAATTGGACCAAAATTAACCCAATCGAGAAACGTCCATAAAATATAATTTTTTAAATCTGGATGCTAAATTGAGTTTCAGGTTGCATATTAAAAAGGTTTTTAAACGAACATCTCGAAGTTCGTCCACCTAACAACATTTGCGTCAAACTTATACTCAAAACCAACTTCTAATCATTCACAAAACCTATATTCAATCAAACTATCAACATTCTGTACTAATATATGGAACTGCTACTAAAACCCAATTTGTTAAAATTGAAAAACTACAAAAATTGATACTCCGCAATTGCTTCAACTTACGAAAAACAGACATCCTCCGGAAACTAAAAGACAAATTTGAGTTCTGTTGCGTCGGGGAGTTGCATATATTTGAATTATTGAAGTTAATGACTAAAATGGCAAAGAGGCAGCACCCATCCTTACTTATCAATGGAGCAAACACCAGTGAATAAAAAACTGGGGGAAAATAAAAGATTTTGAGTTTTTTTAATTTGTCAAACTTTGGCAAGAAAAAAATTTTTCTATGGCTTTAAACGGCCATCGAAACATTTAGATTCGATACAAGCAACCTTGTTTGGAGCGGGGTATCTGCTTAATAATTTCCCTCTTTGCAAAAAGGGAGGATGGTTCATAAGTAGATTAAGTTAGCGAATTTCGACCAGTCAGAATGCAGCAAACTTAGATGCCTCTAAAGAAAACTCTTGTTTTTAGAGGTAGAAAAGTTCTTCACTAGTTACTCTTAGGTTGGATTTTTTGGATTGTTGAGTAGATCCAGCATCTATTTTGTCTTCCATGTAATAAATGAATATAAACAAATGTGAACTTGAATGAAATCATAAATATTTTGTCTAAATTTAAAAATAATAATTTTTCAAAACACCCCAGATTTGAATAATGGCAAATACACTTGATTCTTTAATAGTTAAAAGTGTTTTAAACTAAAATAAGTGCCTCATCAAGTTTCCTGTTTTTTAAACGATGTGCTTATGATTGAGGTGATTTCAAAGCTTTGCTTAACTATATTTGACAGACTGCAGTATCACTTTATCGGATACATGATAATGACAGTGTCCCATGAAAGTGCCTCCTTTGATTATTCGGCAAATATCTCATTTTTCACAACAAAAAGTAAAAATTTTGGCTAGCCAACCTTGGATGCGATGAAATAAAGAGGCTGCTTGAACCTTCTGGAAAACTTGACCTTCCTGAAAAGAGTAACTAAACTATGCGAGGCTGCAACCTCTTAGCGATATGCGGATCTTCTTAGAAATCACCCCGTTCCAAGAAAATTGATAATTGTTAGGTAGATTAAGTTAGTCGAATTTTCGACCAATCAGAATTTATCAAAATCTGATTTTTTTTATATATGGAAGGCGCTAATGCTAATTTAATGCTTTTCTTTAAATGGGTGGCAATTCTGTATTAGATGAATAAGTTCAACGATGCTATTATTTGTTCTCGCAAAATGTATCAGGATGATTTTGGATTGATTTGTATTGATTTTAATTTGATCAAAATTGATTAACAGTTTTAATTTTGGGAACTGAAATGGATTTTAAATCGATTTAAATCGATTTGGATGGATTTTCTGACTCCCTAAAATCCACCCGAATTTCACCTAAGTCCATCTGAATCATAAAAAAAATCCATTTAAATTAATATTAAAAGACCCCTGAGCAAATCAATTTAAATCGATTTTTCTGCTGACACGGCAAAAAAACAGGCAATTTAAAAAAAGTAATTGAAATATTTTATTCTTGATTTCTTAAATAAAGACACTCGGGTTAGATGTTAGAGAGTTGAAAAAAGTGGTCCACTAAAATCAGATTTTGAGTATTAAAAACTGCAATAAACTCCATCCTTTTAAATAAAAAATCTAGAAAAGGGTTACAATAAATCAAATTTTGAGCTCTATTATTTGCAATGAAATCATCAAAAATCTAATTGTAAATTAGAGTTTTGGCAAAAATTTATGCGACAAATCAAAAAGTATTCGATCTAAACTCATATTTGAGCTCAAAAATATGCAACAAAGTTATAGAAAATTGTCATTGCTTGTCAGATTTAGGGCAATAACCTGAGTAACATATCAAGAAAAGGGTCACAATAAATCAAATTTTGAGCTCAAAAAAATACATTGAAATCATCAAAAAATATCGTTGTATTTTAGGCAAAAAATTTATAGAACAAATCAAGAAAATGATCGGTATTTCAAATTTTGAGCTCAAAATTGTGCAACAAAATTATAGAAAATTGTCATTGTTAATCAGATTTATGGCAATAACCTGAGTAACATATCAAGAAAAGGGTCACAATAAATCATACTTTGAATTTAATAATTTGTAATAAAATCACTAAAAACTATCATTGTAAATCAGATATTAGGCAAGAAACCTACGTAAAAAGTCCAAAAAACGGTCACTTTTTGAAGCTCAATTTTTTTTAAAAAACATCCAATTTTGAGCTCAAAATATACAAGGAAGCAATAAAATGCTATAGATTTTCTTTAAAAACTATTTATTTATGCTACTTTTTGTTATTTTAGGTGTAATTGGTCTTTTATGATGGGCAAGAATCAATACAACGCAAAGTTGAAACGGTTGAAATTCGAATTAAAAAAATGATTTAAATCAGTCTTAATCCCTCAAAACACATAAACAATTTAAGACGATTTAATATAAACAATCAATTTAAAAAATGATTAAATTTGATCGACGTGGATCATTTTTAGCTGGGATTTAAGATCAATTAAAATTGATTTGAAATTGATCCAAAGCAATCTTAACCTTTCACATTTAATCTTCGTAATTTTTCATACTAAAAACGATCTCATTTAAATCTACATACTTTTTTCCTATTAAAATCAATCTTAATTCATTTTTGTCAGTGCGGGTAAGTTCATATGTCCGATAGACTTTGGAGTTTTCGCTTATTTTCCATTTCCCACTTTTGGGTTTCAATTTCGAAAGTTTAATCAACGTAATAT